CTTGTATGCTTCTAGTAAAGCACTAGGATATATGACTTCCTATCTGACAGTTAGATTACTTTATTTGGTTGAACACGATTATATGGCCTTATTAGAGTGTAATTATGAGAGAAAAGTAATGGCAAGAAGAAGAATAAATCAGATCAAAATGAGGGATGTTATTAAATTTATGTTTTACTAAGTTTTTAACTTCACCATTACCCTATTTGTTTCACGTATATCAATCACTCTCTAAATCTCATTCCTTAGATTAAAATTAACCTACTTACCAGCCGAGCCTTGGGATGGTGGTGCAGCTGCAGTGGGCCTGGTGTTGACAGCATCAAGTTCATAAAGAAACAACAATAAATTGTACCAGATCATACTCTGCAAGAAAATAATCTGTGCCAAGAGAACAACTGCGCCACCCTTATACATAGCTTTCATCAGAGGGATTCCAAGAATCAAAGTGTTGGGAAGTGTGGTTAACGACAAACCAGTTATAACCCACTTTAAACCTCCTCGGCCGCTGATCTTCGTGATTGTTATTAAGATTAGAAATGCAAGCAATTTCTGAACAAAGTCGGCATATACGAGTTTGAGGCTCATTTTGTAGATGTTGTTTGAGGAAATGATTTGAAATGACAAAAGGGGGATGGAGAATTTTGCAACAAATTTGTTTATGCCTGAACATTGATCTGGTGTGAAGATCTTCCACCATTTCACAGAAACGTAGGCCAGCATCATGGTCACATATAATGGGACAGTGGCTGCCACTACATGATAGGCATCTGCTAGCGATATCATGATGGCTAGTGTAGGAAGATTTAGGATCACCTACACCTTATTATGCTGTCTTACATGCTTTTTAAGCTTTTTGTCCTTGAATATTGGCTTAAGAAACTTCTTCGGCTACATATTCAAAAAGTGACTTAATAAGGTTTGCTGAAAAAGATAAATAAGACAAAATTTAGATTTTTTATTGCTGTATTTCACGAGTTATAGAACAATACGGACTTCAATGAACATTTATATTATGATAATAGCACTGTAATTCTCATTTTAATTGAAAAATAATATCAATATTCAATTCTTAAGAGATTGAATCCAAGTTTTTTTTTTTTTTTCTAAAAAGAAAAGCTTGTACCCATAATGGTTATTGGATTGCTAATTTTAGCTGCTTCTTTTTCCTTCCCCTTTTCCCGGAAATGAACCTTAGCGTAACAGTAAGGTTTGCTGCTTTATGAATCTTAGCCACAATAGTTAAATATTGGAAACAGCCTTTGTACTTTGAGTAAGACAGCATATAATTATCATGTTGGATCTTTATTTCTTGTTCTTTCTTCTTTTGTTAAGTCTAGTTATCGTCTATTTGGAGTTCCCAACTTCGTTTATGCAGAGTGCACTAGTGTTATACTGTTAAAATGTAAAAGTACTGCATGTCTGTGATGCCTATTCATTGATAGATACATGAATCTGATTGTATTTTGATGTTGATAACACGATTCACAATTACGGTTAGGAAAAAAAAGCTTAATAATCAATGTCCAAAGAGAGGGCATTTAAGTCAGCATGAAATATATAAAAATTAGATTCCATTTTTCTTCTCATAGTCTTTCGGTTCATAGGTTCTTTAGCAAAGCAGACCTAGACAAGACCTGCATGCTGACAAATACACAAAACAATATCAGAAGAGAAAATCACAATATAATTCAATTATTTATTGATGTGAAAGAACATAAATTCAAGTGTATATTTTCCTTTTTAACTTGTGTTTCAGCTTTTGTCTGTTATCCCAGTGAATAGCTTTTATTCAGGAATGTGCACAATTCCGTCATTATGCCACAGAAATTCTAGTGTAAAATTTCCTATATTGAACTTCTTTTTTCTATAAAATATATTTATTTAAACTTTTCAGTGGTAGGAAGGAAGAATAAAGAAGTTAATTGGAAGTTAAGTAACGAAGGACTGTTAAAAACTGTGTGAAGAAGAATATTTTCTAATATTGGTCAAAAGTGTTCCTGCAGCGAATTTACTTTCCCAAACGCGATTTTTTTTGCCATAAAAGACCCATCATCTCTTTCTTCATGTTGTCTTTGTAAGAGAATATAAAACTCAATGTCATTAAATTGTCTTTTCATCGAGGGACGTTGCTAAACACATAGATTAGATAGATTCAAAGTATAATGGATGGGTGGAAACATATATTTTTTTTATAAGAGAAACATAAATAATTTGTTGATTTAGTCTATTAAAATAATGTTTTTCAAAAATTTAATTCATTTATGAGTATTTAATATCAATTTTATATACAAAAACCACAATATAGAAGTAGTAATTTTAATAAGGCAAGTTATAGCAGTAGTTTGCGTTGAGGGAATTTAGTTGAGTAGAAAAACACCTTTAGCTGTATTTAAAGAATTGTATAACTTAAAGTTTATGCATATATAAGAGAAATTTTCATTTATCTGATGTGAAACAATTTAATTATATTGACATATGACTTGTTAATAATTTTTGTCCTGTTACTGTATAACTCATTGTGACATGAACAACTTATTTTTATGTTATTCTAGTTAAAAGATGCTCCAACAAAAACAAAATATGGAAAAAGATTGTTTAACTCTATTGTGAGATGTATACTCCAGGTTGAAGAAAAGACACAATGAAAGGTTAACGTGATTTAAGGGAAAAGTAAGAGTTATCAAAGTGCATGTGTATGTATATATTCATCACATTACATCTACACACTTTTCATTTCTGTCACAAACGGATAATAATACTGTATTATATATATATATATATATATATATATATATATATATATATATATATATATATATAATATTCTGATTCTATTATTCAAGCAGTTGAACGAAATATAACATGGATATATAATTTGTTGAGAAAATCATTCCAAGTTTTCGAATAATATTAATACAGCAAATTGAAATTTTAATACATGCATCAGAAAAGACAGTAGAATATATTTTGATTTTTGAGGAACCTCACTAATATCAATATAATGGTAGGTGAGAGACTGTAGAATTGAAACTACTAAATTGTATATATTCATAAATGAAATCATTTACCAAACCACCACCATTAAAGATATTGTTAATCAGAGAAAGTACCACCAAGTGAGATAATATAAACCAGAAACAATTATTTCTCCAACATAAATAAAATTCTGAATATATATAAAATTATACAACATCAAGTTGCTATATCATATATATGCATGAAGGAGGAAGGGTGGAATGATTGGCACTACCTGGCATATATAATATATATATATATATCTTGACTCTGAAGCTTGATTGTGATATGATGTTTGAAGGAAGGAATGTTTATTTGTCATAGGTGTTAATAAACAGCGGTTCTTCTTTCTGCTAAAGTTAAAGTTCGCAAGTTTTAAGTTAATAATTAACAGTGGTTGCTGCAGTAGTGGAAGCTTTTGACCAACCCTACCACTTACCTTAATGCTAAAACTAGTCTTTTTTTCCCAGCTATCTTATTAACTAGATATAACCATTCTGCATTCTTTAAATAAAGCCCTTTTTCTCGCTTATGCTGTCCTATAAAGTAATGATATATATTTTATATGAGATCAATCAATCATTTTATCCAATTTAAAAGAAAAAAAAGTTAAAAAATAATATTAAATTTAAAAAATTAGAAAAGTACTTATATTCAAAATGTAATATTTTCAAGTTAAAAAATTATATCATTATTATTTTTAAAAATAAATCAGTGTAAAATAATGGTTCAATCTACAACTATTTGAACCTCTTATTAAATAGATCATATTAAAACTAACCTTTCAATATAAATTACTACTTTTTCAACCTAAATCAACTCATTTTACATAATCAAACCTGTTTTACCACCTTCGCATATCCATCACACTTACTTTCTCAAATGAATGGTATCCATAATCCCCACTTACATTCTCAATTGATCTATTCGTATGACAATGACTTTTTTTTATGCATGTGAGAGTGGTATATAAATCTTGATTTAAACTTCTATTTTTTTTTTAATTTCAAATAAAAAATTTTAAGAAAATAATTATTGATGAAAAAAATAATAGTAAGTGAACCTGTCTCTACATCTCCCACCATAATAAATGTGATATAAACTTAAGTAAGAACAATTTCACAGAGATATACACAACAAAAGTGTAAGATGAAGCTCGTCAGAAAAATAAGGCTTGCAATTGTTTCAAAATATATATGATCTCAAATATATGGTGAAGTAAACTAAAAAAGGTATCATATAATATTTATCTAAAAAAGGGAAACACAATAAAACAAATTTACCAGTATAAAGCTGATAAATAGTAACTGCTAAAACACATACATAGCAAATTTCAGCGATGCCTCTTCAATCGGACAGATATAAGCAAATAAAATATTGACAAGTTGATAGTGATGAGAAGGTCTAGGCCAAGTAAACGGACAACAGTCATTTTTTAAGGCAATTTTGTAGCTTACAACTGAAAGACCACTTCTGAATAAAACTGAAAGAGGAGTGATATATGTGTATAATCTCATTTCTAACCCAACTATTATACAACCCAATTTAATAATATAACAATATTATTCTAATATTAAAATGTATTGTTAAACAGATGTTTGAATATATAAGATAGTATTTTTCAACTGAAAATACCCCACAAATAGAATGAGTTCCCACTCTTTAGGCTCTCCTAAAATTTAGAAGTGAACTTTTCAATCTTCAAGGAATGCCATGATTATTTAAGAAAGCAAATTTGCCTCTCTCAAAAGCTCAATTGAGCACTGTGGACCTAAATTGCTTGGTTTTAATTGGTATTGGCTTGCTAAGGTCTAATTTGTGGAGTCTAAAAGGCTCAAATAGACCGAAGGTTTGGCCACCCTTGCCTTCTAAGCCAAGAGGAAAATAAAGTTTTAGATTCTCAAACAACACAAAAAACAAAAAACCCCAAACAAGAAAAGAGAAAAAAAAAATCGAAAAAAACGAAGGCATTGGGAAAAATAATGGCAGGAAGTTCAAGCAAGGTTGCCCTTATCTTGGTGGCTTTTGCCATTACTATTCCGTGCCTTGAGGCTGGCATAGGTGAGTTTGACGATTTTCTCAAAGCACAATCAGAAGAGGCCCATGAAATCGCTCTTGAATCCTACGTGCCTGACCCTGAAAACGTTACATCTGATCTCAATTTGCAAGTTCACTCGTAAGTACTTCCATTATCAACTTTTCTCTGATGCTAGTTAACAGTAGATTACAATCTTCAAACACATTCTTCAATCCTATAACTGAGTGCAGCGCACGTTTATTTCTGTACCCTTTATTTTCTAGAGTTTAAGAAACAATAACACATACGAGTTTGATTTTTAATATATTATATATTAGCGAAACATGATAAACCAAGTGGTGTAACTATGAGTTTAGTTTTAATATCCACGAGAGTTTTCTTTGGTGGAATTGGCGTGTTGATTATCACAAATACTTTGATGCAGGGCTTTGGGGGAGGCGTTGAAGGAGGAATCAAACCACACAAGAAGGGAACTGAAGCAGAAATACAGTGGACCATGCTTGGCCCTGAACCCAATCGATCGTTGTTGGAGGTGCAAGAAAAACTGGGCTAAAGACCGTTTTAAGTTAGCCCATTGTGTCAAGGGTTTCGGAAGAAGGGCCGTGGGAGGACTCAATGGCAAAATCTACATTGTCACTGATCCCTCTGACAATGAACCCGTTAACCCTAAACCTGGAACCCTAAGGTACGGTGTTCTCAAAAAGGACCCACTATGGATCACATTTAAACATAGCATGGTCATCAAGTTGAATTACGAGTTGTTGATTGCTTCTGACAAAACCATCGACGGTCGCGGGGCGAATGTGGTGATCAAGGGTGGTGCAGGCCTTACCATGCAGTTTGTGAACAACATTATTATCCACGGGCTTCGCATACAAAAGATCAAGTCCATGGATGGTGGCATGCTTAGGGACTCTTGGAACCACGTTGGAGTAAGAACCAGGTGTGACGGAGATGCCATCTCCATTTTTGGCTCTTCAAACATTTGGATTGATCATATCTCACTCTCTGATTGCGAGGATGGTCTCATCGACATTATCCAGGGTTCCACTGGCATCACCATCTCAAATTGCCACATGACCAAACATAACGATGTAATTGCTTTATATTCTTCTTCCTCTCTCTTTTACTCTCCACTTTTATTCATTATACTCTTTCCCTGTTAGATGGTAGCTTAAGGAGATATTTACTTTGAACACAATTTAATTCAATATACCATATAGATAATATTCTCATAACATTCTTTTAAACTATACTTTATGGCACTACAGTATCTAATAAGTTGACGAACTCTAAACGCATTGTAATTGAAAAATTTTGGTGCTGTTATGGAGAAACACTTTCTCACTGTTGTATCCTAACTCATTCAATTTCTGTACAAAAAATTAAAATCCCAAAATCTTTAGATTTCAGATAGAACTATTGCAAGTCACGTATAAAGTTATGTCATTTTGAAAAAGAGGATAGTAATATACTTTCAAACACAGTCTTTTCCTTTGTGTGTGTGAACATAGATTAACATGGGCATGAATGTATACGTTGCAGGTTATGTTATTTGGAGCCAGCGACACCTACAACGGTGACAAGATAATGCAGGTGACAGTGGCATTCAACCATTTCGGGCAGGGCCTGATTCAGAGAATGCCCCGATGCAGATGGGGTTTCTTCCACGTGTTGAACAACGACTACACTCACTGGCTGATGTATGCAATTGGTGGAAGCTCAGGGCCAACGATTCTGAGTCAAGGAAACCGCTTCATTGCACCAAACAACGACGCTGCCAAGGAAGTCACGCACAGGGACTATGCACAACCTTCTGTGTGGTCCAAATGGCAATGGAGATCACAGAACGATTTGTTCATGAATGGGGCTACCTTTATTGAGTCAGGGAAACCTATTGGGAAACTACCATTCAACAAAGGGTTCCTCATGAAACCTAGACATGGGTCACAGGCCAACAGGCTTTCACGCTTTTCCGGGGCCCTCAATTGCATTGTGGGGAAGCCTTGCTAGATCGATGGAATAAGGTCCACGACTTTTTTTTTTCCTTCCTAATTTGTCATCCTTAATCATGCTTAATTAAGAATTAAGCAAACAACAACAAAGCAGTAATGTTACTAGGAAATCCTCTAGATTCTATTGTGAGCAGTAGCACTTCTGCGTTAGGCAGAGAGCAGTTTTCTGCTTTGAACATAGAGCAGTTTTCTGCTTTGGACATAGAGCAGTTTATTAGAGGATGTAATTAACAATATTTTTGTAATGCATTTTTTTTTTCTATTTTAGAGTAGAGCCCAAAAAACTGGGGTATCCGATCTTTACTGCACTTAGTTACGGGGCAACTAAAAATAAATATAATTTTTTTAAAATTAAAATTACATTAGTAAAAATAATATTTTACATAAAATATAATGATTTAATATATAAATTATAAAAAAATCGATCTATTTAATCTTAAAATAAAATTTAAAAAACTATTTTTTTATTATAATTTGTATTTTAATAATTTATTGATCTAAATTAATAATTAATTTTAATTATTAAATCTTAGAATAAATAAGTGTTAAAATTATTTTAATATTTATTTTTAAAATAAATACTTTTATTATTATTATATAAATAGTTTCATCCATAAATTTACAAACTAAAAAAACAATTCCATATACATCATACACAAAATAGATCGGATTTTTCATATAATTTGTCGTATATGGGGAGAGGGTAATCACATAGAGGTTATATTGCATGGGGTTAGCGTCAGAAAAGAAAAGGTTGGCAAAAAAAGTTAGATCCAATAATGTGGAGAAGATTTTTCTTTCGGTATGTTCATATTCATTGGTTCACTTGGTATACTTTGCCTCAAATATTCCTTAAATCTCTCTCCTTATCTGCTTATTATACATAATTATTGGATTATTCTACTAAAACAACATATTATTATATATAGTCAACGTATACCAATGCGATCATAAATTTGCTTATTTAAAAAAAAAAATTGGGTTTATTTTGTCTTACAACCAAAACCTACAAATATATATTATAACCTAACAATCCAGAGGTTGAGGTTTCTTTAGTTATGTAATTAAAAAATATAATATTATATATAATTCAAACTACATAATAAAACAATATAATACAAACAATAATCTACAAACTAAAATCTATTACAAACTAAAAGTTAATACAAACTAAAAGTTAGTACAAACTAAACTACCTAAACTACATAATACACACAATATAATATAAACAATAACCTAAAAAATTAAGTACTAGAATTGTTGAACGAAAAACCTTGCCCATTATTCTCTAATTTGTGTGATATCATATTCTGACAATGGAGATGAATCTTGAAATACCTGAAACATTAATTTGACTCTTGTAAACATGCAACACACATAAAGTTAAATAAACTTAACTAATGCTGAAAACAATTACCTCCGTCCAAGAATCAGTTATACCCGCACAAATTATGGCTCTCATCCAATACATAATATAGTAACCACATTCAAATGATTCTGTTTGTTTATTACAAATGATGAATAAAATATAATGTTATTTTCAAAATTTAAATACAAACAATAATTATGGTATTCACTTATTATAATAAGTTTCTAACCTTAGGATAAATGAACTGCAAAGTCTTTGTTATGGGTTTTCCACTTAGAACATTAGTTATAGACACGATTCTAAATGAAAAAAGCCATATATTATTCAATACCTTTTCCATTTTCACTAGCAAATTTCAAAAATTCATCAACTCCCTTTTCGTACTCTTCACTAATACAATGTGCATTCATCCAACTTCGATTCATATTATGTTATAAAGTTTCGTCACTCCTAGAGATTCAAAATTTATATTTAAAAAAAAATTAATATACAAACAACAAAGCACGTATATGGAGTGTGTAAACCGAAAATGCACTCAAACAAAATAATGACATTCCAATAATAATCCAGTGGAGACATTCATACAATGACGTGATTGAGATCCCAAAAACAATCACAGATTCAATTTGAACATATATCAGGAGACATAGAACACTAACATCGAGTAAACACGAAAACGATTTCAAACTCGAATCCAATCAGGGAGAAATGTCAAATTCGTAAAATGAGATACAATGTTGATGTTTTTCACTGCCAAAATGATAAAAAATGGTGTGGAAAGATAGCTGTCGTCGTCGTTCTCATTATCGTTCTAAAAAACCCTTGCGGTGCGAGATGCGGGAGTGGGTCTGGAAGAGAATAAAAAGAACTTTTTACGTCACGCACCCCCCACGTGACGTAAAAAGTATCACTTTTTACGTTGCGCACCTTTATGTGACGTAAAAAATGATACTTTTTACGTCGTGCACCCCCCACGTGACGTAAAAAGTATCACTTTTTATGTCGCGCACACCTCACGCGACTTAAAAAGCTCTCTTTTACGTCGCGCTGTACCAGGTGCGACGTAAAAGAGGTTTTTAACGTCACCTCCTACAATATGCGACGTAAAAGTTTCACCTCTTATTTACAAAATTGCCACCGCGTTTTATTTACGTCGAATATTTTGACATGCGATGACAATTGGGTGACGTAAAATGTCATTTTTGCACTACTGATTTGTTGAAAATTTCAAATATTATAATTAGTAATCTCAGAAAAACAACATACAGATCAGTGAAGAATGATATTTAATTCTTAAATAACGTATTATGTAATAAAAACTAATAACTAGTGTATATGACTCACTTTTTTAATTAATTAATTTTCATTTGATAACATTTTTGGATTAATTTTATAAATCTTAGCCATGTATAGAAACCATTCGTTAGACTTGGTAGAAGAATACGAAAACAGAAACTTTAAAAACAAGAAAAAAGAGACATGTGCCTAATCTAAATTAAAAGAGGAAGACATGTTTATCAATTACAAAAAGCTTGAATAACTTAAAAAAAAGAGGATTTTAAATGGATCAATACATCTAAATACATAGTTCTTTCAAATTTATTATTAGTAATTATATATTTTTATTTATGTGCGAATTATTATTGATAATATATAAGATTTAGTAAATTTTTTAAAGCTTATGTTTTTAAAAAATATAATTAAATCTAACATTTGTAATAAATAGACAAGTTTTATGTGGATATTTGCAAATATTAACCATAATTGCGTTGTTCCTTCTATTACCTTTAGAATCTTTCTGAATAAATAATTATTTTAGTTTCTAAAAGTGTAACTATTGTTACATTAGTTTATGAAAATAAGAGAAGTGCAATCTATCAATCATATTATTCTAAAAATAGTGCATTAATGAAAATAGATTTTTTACAAGGGTTATTTTAGAATCGTATAACCGATATAGATCGATGACACAAAGATATAATTTTATAGGTCGATAATAATAAATGATTATGTCAGTTTTTAACATAAATATTTTTATATAATTATATTTCTTATAAATATTTTATATCAAACAGTTTTAATACAATAAATTTTGAAAATTAAACACAAGTATTATCTACGTAGAAAATCACAATTAAGCATAAAATGTAAATATATTCACTTAAATTTGATGAAAAATTATTCTTAAAAGAAAAAAATTATAATAATACAATATATAACATATTAGATAATTCCATTAAATCAAATCAGAAAATATAAGTTAATATAGAAAAAAATAAGACAATACTTTTATATTTTACCTTTGTTGTAAATGAGAAAGAAACAAGATTGTGAAAAGTAGTGATTCAAGCACAAAAAAATAAAAATAAATGAAAGTGATAAAAAAAATTAAAGTAAATGAATGTGATCAACAGACAATGAAACAAAAAATAAAAATAAAAGATTGAATAGAGTTTTTTGTATAAGAAAAAAAAATAAAAAATGAAAAAAATAAAAAGGATAAAATGAAACTGAATATTTTAAATTTGAGTACTTTTTACTCATAATAAGAATTTTTTATGTCAATTTAATTTTGAATCAAAGTTAAACCGTTATAATAAATACTTACTATAATAATTCAAAATCAAACTAACATAAAAAAATATCTAAATTATAATTTATAAAATATTTATTGTAACGATACAAAATTGAACCAACATAAAATCTACTTATTATATAAAGATTCAATTTTAAATCAATATAAAAAAATTATAAAAATTAAATTTTAATTACAAAATTATCACCGTTTACAATGAACATAATAAATTATTATAAAATATTATTTTTATACTAATTAGTGTTTTAAAAATAAAATGGTAATAAATAATTAAATTTTAAGACATTTATATATATATATATATATATATATATATATATATATATATATATATAATTTTAAAGACTTTAAATGCATTTTCCAGTTTCTATTACAAAATCAGTATTTTACTGAAACATAACTCGATTAATGCTACGTGTTCAATTTTAATTTACCAAACTTAATCAGTGTATCCTCATAAGGTATTATTGTGTCCTTCTATTGCAAGCAAACATAAAATTTCAGGTTTAAGCATTTGGGAAACACTAGTGGAAAAATAGCATTCTACGACGAGTTTTTATCACGGTCGTAATCCACCCGTCATAGTATGTAGCGCGGTGACAATTTTATAATAAAATCATAAACTTTCTATGTCGGGTAAATTTTAACCGACATAGTAAGTGGAAAGTTCACTTTCTATGTTGGTTAAATATTACCCGACATAGAAAGTTGACTTTCTACGTCGGGTAAGATTTACCCGACATAGAAAGTTAACTTTCTATGTCGGGTAACATTTAACCGACATAGAAAGTGAACTTTCTATGTCGGTTAAAATTTACCCGACATAGAAAGTGTCTTTTATGACGGGTGTTAGGGCAACCGACATAGTATCTTCTGTTTTACCACTTCACCCATAGCAGAGCTCCCCGTTCGCCCGTGTACGTTTCTCCCTACGCTCCATTTCATTTCATCGGTTCACCCATAGCGAGCTCCCGTTCGCTCGTGTACGTTTCTCCGCACCCACATTTGCTCGTCACGCCACCTCGCCAACGCT